TATACTACACTATACTATGCAATATTATACTATGCTATACTATATTATACTATACTATACTATATTATACTATACTTTACTATATTATACTGCACTACACTATACTATACCAAACTATACTATACTGTAATATACTATACTTTGCTATATTATATACTATATTATACTGTACTGTACTATACTATACTATATTATATACTATACTGTACTGTATACTATACTATAGCCTACTATCAATACCATACTATACTATACTACACTATACTATACTACACTATACTATACTATCCCGTACCAAAACCATCCCGTACCAAAACCATCCAGAATTTAAACTTCACCCTTGACAGCAACACTCTACATCCCCCCCCCCCCCTCACATCCGCAACCTCGGAGTCATCTTCGACAGTCAGCTCAAATTCAATCACCACATCAATCACATCACCAGGACCGCCTTTTTCCACCTCAAAAACATTGCCCGTCTCCGCCCATCACTCTCCTCCTCTGCTGCTGAAACCCTGATTCATGCATTCATCACATCACAACTCGACTACTGCAATAGCATCCTCTACGGCATACCATTCAACCTCCTCAATAAACTCCAACATATCCATAACTCTGCTGCCCGCCTCCTCACCCACACCCGCTCCAGATCACTCCCGTCCTCCAGAACCTCCACTGGCTCCCCGTCCGTCAAAGAATCGACTTCAAAGTCCTCCTCATTACTCACAAAGCCCACAACAACCAGCCCCCCCCCCCTACCTCACAGACCTGCTGCACCACCACACCCCCTCCCGCTGCCTCCGCTCATCAGAAGCCAACCTCCTATCCATCCCCACCCGCACCAATCACCGGACCTGGGGGGACAGAGCCTTCTCCGTCGCTGCCCCCTCCCTCTGGAACTCACTCCCACAACCCATCAGAGACTGCACTGACCTCACCACCTTCAAAAAACTCACAAAAACTCACCTCTTCAATCTGGCTTTTAATGTGTGATTGTTTTTGTATTGCTTGATTTTAATTTGACTTTAACTATATTTATTTGTTGTTCTTTTCTTTTCACTATCTCTGTCAAGCGACTTTGAGCACCCGTAAAATAAATCTATTATTATTATTATTATTATTACTACTATACTATACTATACTATGCTATAGATAATCTAAGTACTTCAATGCATATTCCACCAGTCACTGAAAATACTGTGGGAGTTTATAAAACATGTATTGAAAAACAAGAAGTGGTGGCTCTTAAAGAACCACTTGTGAACTTGTTGTGTAAAAGTGTGGATGTAAACATTAACAAGTGTTTGATTGCACAGGCTATCACACTGAGTGTAGGAGCCATAATGCTACTTAGCCCAAGTTCATTATTTGTATTATTATTATTTGTTTACGTCACTTTTATTTGTTTGTTGAGCACTTCCGGTAATTGTCACATGGGTCAGGGTGTGGTTTGTCTATATAAGTCACCTGTTTCTTGTCGAGTGCGGATGACAGAGGGTGAGCTTGTGCTGTCATTTTTTCTGTTGACCGTTTTGTCCATAGTTACTGTGTTTTGATTTTGTTTATTAAATATCCTAAAACTATCTTGCTTCAGTATGGACTTTCTCTTCAAAAACGCGTCACAGTTTACATGTATAGCCAAGCTTAGCCTCTCAGCGACTCAAACTGAACTGGAAATTAAGCTGCCACACTGAGATCAGAGTACTGCACTGGAAGTTCCAGGGTGATGGCAGCCTTCCCATGGCAAATAAAAAGCACACCTTGACATTAGCCAGAGTTGTTTATTAAGAAGAATGGAGGCAAGCAACAATTACAAATCAGTTACTACTGGTGTTTGTTATGCACAGAAAGCACTTTTACATGAGCACAAACACAATCATACAGTAATGCATCAAAAGCTTTTTATTCAAACATCCAGCATTGTTTGATCCTGAATGCTTTTCACCTTATTGTGTTGTGTCACACACACACACACACACACACACATCAATCCCCTCATATTATAGCCAATCTGATGCAATTGAACTGCCGTCTCATTTCCTCCTGCTCTTTATCGTGGCCTTGCCTTTTCGAAAATCCCACACACTCACACACACAACAGCACTCTTTTCCTCTGCTGACAACATCATCTCCAGACATGTGATTCTACTGCACACCACCACATGGAGCAAAGCATCTGCTGAAGATGTATTATATAGTCCTGTGTGTGTGTGTGTGTGTGTGTGTGTGTGTGTGTGTGTGTGTGTGTGTGTGTGTGTGTGTGTGTGTGTGTGTGTGTGTGTGTGTGTGTGTGTGTTTATTAGGGTGTGTCTTTCATCTTGTTTTCTTCCTAATCCATGCATGCAACTGTAGTGTTTTTCAGTGCTTGCAGCTGAAGTAGTACATCAAATACGTAACGCAAAGTCACATTTTTGAGTGTGACTCAAAAATTAACGATTGGAGCATCCCCAGGCAGCACAGCAAAATTCATACCCCTTAACTTTTTTCACATTTTGTTATGTTACAGCCTTATTTGAAAATGGATTAAATTCATTGTGTTTCTCAATATTCCACACACAATACCCCATGATGACAAAGTGAAAACGTTTTTTAAAGAATGTTTTGCAAACGTGTTAAAAATAATCAAATGAAATATCACATGTACATAAGTATTCACACCCTTTGCTATGACACTGAAAATTGAGATGTTTCTATAACTTGATTGGAGTCCACCTGTGGTAAATTAAATAGATTTGACATGACTTGGTAAGGAACACAGCTGTCTATATGAGGTCCCACCGTTGACAGTGCATATCAGAGCACAAACCAAGTCATGAGGTCCAGGGAATTGTCTGTAGATCTCAGAGACAGGATTGTATCAAGGCACAGATCTGGGGAAGGTTACAGAAAAATGTCTGCAGCATTGAACGTTCCAACGAGCACAGTGGTCTCCATCATTTGCAAATGGAAGATGTTTGAAACCACCAGTGCTCTTCCTAGAGCTGGCCGCCCAAACCAAACTGAACATCGGGGGAGAAGGGCCTTAGTCAGAGAGGTGACCAAGAACCCGATGGTCACTCTGACAGAGCTCCAGTGTTCCTCTGTGGAGATGGGAGAACCTTCTAGAAGGACAACCATCTGTGCAGCACTCAACCAATCAGGCCTTTGTGGTAGAGTGGCCAGAAGGAAGCCACTCCTCAGTAAAAGGCACATGAAAGCCCCCATGGAGCACCTAGAGTACTCTCAGACCACGAGAAACCAAATTGTCTGGTTTGATGAAACCAAAATGGATCTCTTTGGCCTGAATGCCAAGCATCATGTCTGGAGGAACCCAGCAGGAACTGGGAGACTAGTCAGGATCAAGGAAAAGATAAATGCAGCAATGTACAGAGAGATCCTTGATGAAAACCTGCTCCAGAGCGCTCTGGACCTCAGACTGGGGCGAAGGTTCACCTTTCAACAGGACAACGACCCTAAGCACACAGCCAAGATAGCAAAGGAGTGGCTTCGGGGCAAGTCTGTGAATGTCCTTGAGAGCCTCAGCCAGAGCCCAGACTTGAACCGGATTAAATATCTCTGGAGAGATTTGAAAAATGGCTGTGCACCGACGCTCCCAACCTGATGGAGCTTGAGATGATCTGCAAAGAAGAATGGGAGAAACTGCCCAATGTGCCAGGCTTGTAGCATCATACTCAAGAAGACTTGAGGCTGTAATTGCTGCCAAAGGTGCTTCAACAAAGTATTGAGTAAAGGGTGTGAATGTTTATGTGATATTTTATTTTTTTATTTTTAAGTCATTTGCAAAATATTATTTAAACACTTTTTTCACTTTGTCATTATGGGGTATTGTGTCTAGAATGTTAAAAAAACAAATGAACTTAATCAATTTTGAAATATGGCTGTAACATAACAAAATGTGGAAAAAGTGAAGGGGTATGAATACTTTCCGGATGCACTGTACCTAGGTAGTATCTGTCCATTTTGAAACCTCGAAGGAAGATCCTTCAGGAAAAAACTAAACAAAATCACTTTAAACTTGATCAAAACAGATAATCTTGGTCTAACACACATGTACAATCATTCTGGTTTTAAGAAGCTAACATAAAATCCTCATGAGGGTTACAGAGGTTACGTACTTGGTGCAGGAGAGCAGATCCATTGACCCAGCCTCCTGCTGCTGATCATTATATCTGCAGTCCACTTCACATCACAGGGGGACGTGCCACAACTAGTGACCTAAATGGATGTGTGTGTGTGTGTGTAATTTTTAACTTAGAGTCAAAATTAATCATTTAGTTTTCCAGCCCCCCAACAAAAACTTGTTTGAAAAATCTAGAACAAATATTTTTGGTTTAGAAACACATTTGAATACATTTTTGATCTTGAGATTTTGTTAAACTCTGCACATTTCCTTTCTCAACACTGTAGCTAGAAGTCCTCCCCCCCTCCGTCTCATTTGCACTCGATGTCAGTCATGGATATTTTTTCATAACCTTGACTGAAAGTTGAAATGAAATCAGTAATTGGTTCTCAGAAATGTATGTTGACCACTCTGATCAGATGTAATTCAAAATGTCAGAGTTTAGGACATGAGTTTAAATTAATTTCAACCTGGTTCATGAGAATGCAATGGGGAGCCGCAGGGTGTGTAACTATTTCAAAATCACTCAGAATAAAGGTCTTAATTCAACGCTCCCTGGGTAAATAAGATAATATGAATACACACTGATAGATAACCCACACAGTGTAATATGCAACCATGAGGTCAGATGAAATGTAAAACACAAGAGAGCGCTCAAATAATAATATATCAAAAGCATACACTGCTGTAATAGTTCCTTACAAAAAGCAAACGAAAAAACTAAGCCATTGCAAGTTTACTTTACTAGCATTTTCATATGCACTTTTACATTCACACAAACACTATCAGCGATACAATAATGTTCGATACATAATCTATTTTTAAATGATACATGAAGAATTATTTAACAGTAATATATTGATTGTAATATATAGTATGAGGAGAATGTTTCCAGCTTGTCTTGCTTCTCATCCAATCAGGAACCTTCATCTAGTCCGAGTCGCTGCTGCAGGAGCTGCTGGAGGACTGCAGGGGGGAAGAACACAACACACACACACACACACACACACACACACACACACACACACACACACACACACACACACACACACACACACACACACACACACACACACACACACACACACACACACACACACACACACACACACACACACACACACACACACAATGTAAGGAAAGTGTCATTATTTCTTGAAAAATATTTTGAATTATTTTCAAAAATACAATACTTCTTTGATATCATGTGATACACTCAGATTTTCTTTTTTTATATATATATATATATAATATTGGGAATATCAGTATTGCTTTTTGTATTTCATTCATTTTTTTATGCATTTACATTGATAGGATTGTATTGTATGTAATATTACTTTTTATTTTGTATTAAGTTTTCATTTTTAATTTATATTTATTTTTTATAGATACAATGTTTTTTTTTCTTCTAAACAGCTGATCCTTGATCCTATAAATTGCAAAAACCAAAGTGTGAATACAAAAAGGAGTTATTTTCAATTTTTTTGTAAATATAACCAACATGCATTAATAAAAATAATGTTTGAATCTTACCCCGTGACAGTCCTTTCCTTTCTTGTGGCACTTGCCATGCTTGTGACCATGCTTGTGTTTATGGCCATGGCCCTTTCCAGGACATGGTCCATGTCCATGCCCATGTTCGTGTCCATGCCCATGTTCGTGTCCATGTTCGTGTCCATGTTCCTGTCCATGCCCATGTTCGTGTCCGTGCCCATGACCCTGACCGTGGCATTGGCCATGGCCCTGTCCTTGGCCTTGACCAAAACCAGGTCCACAACCAGCTCCAGTTCCCTGACCATAACCTGGATCATAACCCGGTCCTGGCCCATAACCCGGTCCTGGCCCATAACCCGGTCCTGGTCCGTGTTGGCCTCCGTGTTGAGGGGGGTAGTTTGGTGGTGGGACAGAGCCCCGAGGATGAGGGTATCCCCCCGGCATCTGCTGAGGATGGTTCGGGTGACCAGGAGGGTACTGGTTTCCTAAACACAAGGAGGAGGACTTAGCAAAACTAAACATCAGGTCTGTAATCCATATTTTTTTTATAGACAGTGATTTTGATACTTACCTTGGTTGTTTCCGTACATTCTGAAACCTCAGATAAAGATTCCTAAAGCAAAACAGAAAACAAAAGCACAGTTAATTTAGGTAACACACATATATACAATCATTCTGTATTTCAGAACCTTACAGAGAATCCTCAGCTGAGTTTCGGAGGTGAACTTACTGTGTGCAGGAGAGCAGATCACACCGCCTCCACCTCCTTTTTATCTGCAGGCCACCTCACAGGGGGCAGAGCCAGAACACCCATCAGGACATTTCTGCTTTGTGAGCTAAATGGGTGTGATTGTGTAATCTTTAACATACAGTCAATAGGAACCATGTGCAGTCTGAGATATGGATTCCCACACCCAAACGATTTGAATTTGCAAGAAAAAATCAGGTTTACAAATAATCTTTTGGTCCACCAGTTAGAGATATTTGACCCTTTGCAATCTCATAACACTTGAAATATTTAAATACATTTTAATCTTGAGATTGTGTTAATATAAGCTGAGTTTCTGCACATATCCCTTCTCGACAATCATATAGATGACTTTAATCAGGCAGAAAGCAATATAACATCAATTAATATTGTATTAATCCCTCGTTAGTACACTTATCAGACTTATCTATGTGTCAAAGATGAAATGGCATTATTAAAAGACAAAAAATTGTATGAATGAGCAGGTGATTAAATCTAGGTTCATGTGAATGTAACAGGGTGAAGCTATTAGTAAAGTCAATGCCAAACAAAGGTCGCTCAACACTCCTTGGGTACATAAAGGTAATATGAATGCACAGTGAAAGATAACACACATAGTGTAATACGAAACCATGACGTCAAATGAAATGTAGAGTTAAGAGGCAGGACATTGTAAGAAATACTAGCTTTAATGATGGACAGTGGGGGGGTGGGGGAGTAGATCAGTCATACTGTATCATCAGTGGTGGTTAAAGTTGACATATCCTTGACCTAGGTAGAAATACACACTAAAAACATACTTCCTTACAAGTACTAGCTGGATCTGTAAAATGTTTTTTGTTTTTCTATTACTTGAGCAATTACCAAAATGGCTGCCAATCAATTTTCTGTAAACCCACTGTACATAGATTGTATTGTGTGGGAGACTGCCTGATGACGTAGGAGTATTATGTTTATTTTTTGCATGTCAGTTTTATTTTTAGATTTATCTTGCAATATTATTTTCAACACTTGGTGGCGTGATTAGATGCACAGGGATGTAGAAATAGAACTTCAGCCTCTTGTGGCCAGAATGATTATTACAACAACAAACAATTTAAATTATCCTGACAAAAAAACTATTCAAACTACTTTATATCTTAAAGGGGACCTATCATGCAAAATGCACTTTTGTACGTCTTTTATACATGAATATGTGTCCCCGGTGTTCCAGGGAACTCACCAAGTGTCAGAAAACACAACCCTCTCTATTTTCCTTCATACCCAAATCTCTAAAAAAGGGGCTGCAACGGATCTGATAAAAACTGATCCAGATTTGAACACTGTCCTGACGTCAGGACGGTGGCGCTACGGCTATTGGGCCAACTCCACCAATCAGGAGGAGACAGCCACGGCCATTGCCGTTCGAAAGCGCTGGAGACGCTGTAGTACATATGCCAGGCCTGTAGATGGTGCTGTTCTCACAGAATCAGCCCTTGCAAAAACAGAGCTAACATTTTTCAAATTGAGCAAAATGAGGCATGGCTAAAATGCATGATCTGTTTGGTATTTTGAAAAAAAAAAAAGTATAAATATGCCTTATATAGGTATGGTCCTACACTATATTATTCAAATATAGCATGATAGGTCCACTTTAAATAATAATCCAAACTCTACCCAATTATTTAAATGTTCTTTCCAAAAAAGGATTAAACTCTGAGACATAGGCACATTCTTCAGTTTTTGTATTAGTTATGTTACAACTCTTAAAATGTAAAATGCCTTGCGACCCCATGAAGCCCTGCAGACCCCCGGGTTGGGGGCCAGAGCTTCAGGTAGCAGGATGAAGGTTTCCAGCTGTTTCTTCTTGCATCTTCATCTAGTTGGAGTCGCTGCCCGAGGACTAAATCAGGAACAATTGTAATTTAATGTATGAATTCATCAATAAATGATACAAACATAATACTGCAAAGAAACTGATAAAGTTTGTAAAGTAAATGAATTCAGTGTTGTTAGTGTGTCTTTGAATGATGAATATATTTCTAGATTTAGGAATCCATTTTGAAAAGGACCTTTCATGTTCTATTCAATAACTTCTTTGTGGTTTACTATTTGTGATTTCTGTTTGGGCCACAATTAACATTAAACTTGAATCGGAAGCAAACCGTGTCTCTGTAGAGGCAAAGGGAGCTGTAAAGATATATATTTTCTGAGTTCATAACAGGTCTAATTTTACACATTGATGCATTGTTAATCTAAAATATACAGAGTGTAGCCATATTTGTGGCATTTAAATGCTCAATTTAGTGGTGGAAGCCGTTTTAGACTGATGACTTATTAGAAAGGCCACAAGAAATCTAATCAAAATCAGGGTGGAAAACCGATATAGTCAAGGTAAGATCTTTTTAAAGACCCCTCCCTCAAACAAATCCACATTAAAACCTCAATGAAGCTAGTGTGTATAGCAGAACTGTTGTAATAGAACCAAAACGTTTGAGCTTCTTGTACCCAGTAAACTGGGAACTCATAATTGAAATTGAAAGTTTTTTAATTTCACTTTAACAAACATTTGCTACAATTGAGTCTCCATGAATTGCACTATGCATGATTCAATAAAACTGGATCTTACCCCGTGTCCCTTCTTTCCTTTCTTGTGACCGTGTTTGTGGCCGTGGCCGTGGCCATGACAATGACCATGACCATGGCCATGACCGTGCCCGTGACTGTGCCCATGACAGTGACCGCGTGCAAAAACATGCAGAGGAATGAGATTGCTCAGTTTCAATTCTTGCTGAAGATTGTTCCAAGCAAGTGGAGCTGCGCACATAAAAGCTGTCTTACCTAAGACAGTCCTTGCTCTTGGCACATCTAACAATACTACATCATTCGATCTCAGACAATAGCTGCTTGCAACTCTCTGTGTTATCAGAGAGCAGATATAATACGGGAGTTTACCCAACAAAGCTTTATAAATAAATGTGTACCAATGACTGAGCCTCCATACAGTAAGTGATGGCAAACCTGCCTTGGCATACAGGGTACAGTGATGTGTAAGTGCTTTACAATTTCTGACAAATCTCAGTGCGCTGTGATAGGCGGCATCTAACTTGTTCAGGCAATGGGCAGGTGCATTCATATACAACAAATCACCATAGTCCAGGACAGGTAAAAAGGTCACAGTGACTAGCCTTTTCCTGGCCTCAAGTGAGAAACAGGACTTGTTTCTGAAAAAGAAACCTAGCCTAACCCTCAGCTTTTTAAGCAGGTTATTGACATTAAGTTTAAAGGTAAGACAATCATCAAGTCAGATACCAAAGTATTTGTAACAGGCAACCACTTCTAGTACTTGTCCTTGCATAGTAACAATATCTAAAACAGGCTCTGGTGTCTTTTTAGCTTTTGAAAAAAGCATTACCTTGGTTTTATCAACATTTAAAAGAAGCTTAAGTTCAGAGAGCTGAGTCTGAATAATGTTAAAAACAGCCTGTAATTTAACAACCGCCTTCTTAATCGAGGGACCTGCCTGTCTCCGTCAGAACAGCAGCTGATCAGGGGCCTCATTTATAAAGGGATATACGCTCATAAAATGGCGTACGCCAGTTTCTACTTGACGGGAAAATGTGCGGTCCTCCACGCAAACTCTAACCCATGCGTACGCACTAAGCACAACAACGGGAGAGACGAGAAACTGCGACACCGTTGGCAGAAGGAAGAATGGAGAGAAATATGTGGAAATAATACCATAAAGCCTGTTTGCGACTCCTCAGTGCACACAAAAACATAACTTGGAGAAATAAATAAATACGGATATGTTATTTAAAACCACCTCGAATATGTTGTGTTAATGTAATGAAATGTTTTTAGTATGTAATGTAATTAGAGAAGACAGAAGTGTCCAGATTCGTTTTTTTTTTATCAGGGGTGCCACAACCGCTTGTTTAAAATAAACTGGCACAGAACCGGACTCTATGCTGCTATTTATAATTTTATGGACATTAGATCCAATAGTGTCCCATATCTCTTTAAAAAGTCGAGGAGAGACTGGGTCTGTGGGACAAGATGAGGGTTTTAATTTAGCAACAATGTCACTAAGAGATGACAACGACACCGGGACAACAGTTGCGTGAGTTTCACGGCCCAGCGACCGAAGGTTGCGGTGGTTCACTCCATCAGGGGGGGAGAGGCGAGACCACTGGGGGTGCAGGACATGGAGCTCTTGAGTCGGGTCAGCGACAGGTACCAGCCAGGTGCCGACCATGGCGAGGGTGCGTCGGTTAACAACAGGTTAAGAGAAATACAGTGACTTGTCTTAAAATAAAAAGTCCAAGAATTCCAAGCTCTGATTTCACTTTATTATTTAGTTTGATAAAAATCCTTACAATCAGTGAACAAGTCAGTTTTGACAAAAGCTTGTTGACGTTTGTGAGATGAATATAAATGCTTATGAGTTACAAATAACTTTTCAAATTGAAGATTTGCAGGTGGTAACTTGTGTTGTTTTTCTCCTGCCCAGGAACGTTCATCTAGTCAGAGTCGCTGCTGCTGGAGTCGCTGCTGCTGCAGGAGCTGCTGGAGGACTGCAGCAGGAGAACAGGAAAAAAACAAACAAATAATTAAATCAACAATTCAAACAGCAATGCTTATCATTACATTTCTGACAAAAGAGTTGGACTGGGTTTTTCTCTTGGAAAAGATGTTTCAGAAGAGAGCACGTTTCATTTTATATTGTTATCTCCTGGGCTTATGACACAGGTGAAAATAAATGTCTTGCTAGGATACCTTTTCTAAGTTGCGTAAATCTAATTCTAATGTGAAGATTTTATTTTTTCTTATAAGGAGAATTTCTGCATGCACTCTAAACAGAATGTATACTGTGAGTTAACAAGTTATGTAATATTAGTAACAAAAACAAAAGAGAGTGAAACATTTCGATCAGACTTGGATGACTGAGATTTTTTCTCTCATTTGCTTCCATACCCTTTCCTACTGCTGGATTTAAAGCTAACCTTAAAAAAACCTTAATTGTGTTTTGGGCCATTGGAGCAGGATTGCACCTGTCGGCCACCGTAAGATTTACCTGAACATCTCTTTACCACAAAAATGTGTTATAAACTGTGCATTGTGTTGATGGTTGCAGGGAAATTAATAACTAATAATCGGATGCATAATCATCCCAAAACATTTTAATGGCTACAAAAACTATGTTTACCCAAAGGAACACGTAACTGCCTGAGGTTATAAAGGGATAAGCGTCCCACAAAACCAACATCAGCTGTTAGCTGTTAGCCCTCAGAGCTCACAGCTCCTCATATCTGTTCAGAAACTAGACAAAAGTTAAACAAGTACAAACCACAGACTGTCTGTGTCATGGCGAATACAGTCGCTGCTTTATTTATGTCTGTATAGGCCGTTGTTGTGAGTGTGGACGGTCGGAGCATATACAACGTTAGCTTAGCCGATCTCCATTTAGAAAACACGCATTTTAAAAGGTTTTTCGCCTGCCGTTTTGTCTGCAGACTTGTCAAAGCATTAATTCATGGTTTTTACTAACCGGTATCAGTATGTTGTTACTTCGGCATCATTTTGAAACGTGTATTACAATTAAATCACGGTAAAATATGTTGTAATTTTGTTGTAGTTGCCAGAGATTCTCTCACTAGTTTAGCAAACTCAGCCCGGTTGTTGGCCCAGAAAGAACCTCGATTTTGGAGAGCCAGAAAAACTGTGAAAAAGTACCCACTAGCCGGAACTACGCCTAGTGGAAACGCAACCAAAAACGGGCCGGGCACGGCACACTTAAACCGCGCTCCGCGCTGTAGTGGAAATGCGCCATAAAAATCCCATGTATTATTATTATTATATGAGTTATTGATACCTGAGCAAGGATTTTTACTGTTTTTAAATGTGAGCGTATTCTATTTAATTTGTATGTCAAGTGAAGCCAAATCTCAAGGTGATTTGTATTGTTAGTTTCCTGTAAATGGCAATCAATTATAAAATAACTAATCCATACTATATCATTCCGGCTTTCATTAAATTGGATTACAAAAACATCTTTTATCATGTTTATCTGAATTCTGAAAAAAATAACTTTCTGTGGAAAAAACTGCACTGTTGAGTCTTACCCCGTGACATTCCTTTCCCTTCTTGTGACATTTGATATGCTTGCGTCCACGCTTGGGCTTGCACCTGCGCTTCACTCCATGGCATCCACTTTGTCCATGTCCATGGCCTTGACCACATTGTCCTTGTCCATGTCCATGACCGTGACCACATTGTCCATGTCCATGACCGTGACCATGTCCATGACCACCATGGCCATGACCACCATGGCCATGGCCTCCTCTTCCACAGTGTCCCCCTGTTATTGAAGTTATAAATCAATATTTAGTAAATGTGATGCACATCCAATGCATTTGTTACAAAGGGATGAGAATAAACCAAAACAGTTATTTACCGTGGTGTCCAGACATTTTCCACAGATCCCCTGTACAAAAAGATAAAACAATTCACACACCAAATTAAAATCACACACCTGAGATTCAAATGGGATTGCAACTGTAAGGCGTGTTGAGGTGTGACAATGCAAAATTACTAAAAATATTCAATGTATTTATATATGCATAGATGATCAGTAAAGGTTCACTTACTGTGTACTGGGCAGCAGATCCTCAGCCTCACTGTGAGCTGCTGCTCCTTTTAAATGTAGCGAAACCTGAAGGTGAGCGGTCCGTCAGGCCGGGGCGGTCCCTGCTCTCTTATCAGATACTATTTGTTTTGCAAGGGTGTGTGTGAGTGTCAGTGTCAATCACAAATAGCTACACAATAGGAATACCAGCTGAATCATGTGCACTACACCTTATCACAAAAGACAGCATGTTCTTTCTGTCTCACGGTTCGATGGAATGTTAAAGCTTCGAGGTACCTAACATATTTTGTTGAGGTGTTGAGTCAGTGTTTTACAGACAGTGTGATGTTATCAGGAGATAAGACTTTCTGAAGAGTGATGACATACCTTTAGTTTCAGCTGTCAGTTTTCTTTGTGTGCCTAAACGCAACAAAACGATACCCTTAGTTGGTTTTTTTCGAACACACACTCAACAACGAAATACTAGGCTGGTAGTCAGGACAACAACATGAGCCATATTGACTTAATGGAGTAGGGTTTCTGCTTTTGTTAGTTTTATGTACTCTTATGCAAAATAGTCGGTAAAATCAAGTCCTATGATTTTTAAAGACAATTGCAAGTCAGTTCGGTATGATGCATTTATGAGTTTAATCGCCGTCTTCCAATTTAACTGTTGTTTGGCACTCCGAGTCTATGGCGCGTTCACACCGGAGTACTTTTCCCACAATAGTTCATCAGAACTACGATATATTTGCGTTCACACCAAAAAGCCCCCGGAACTAAATTAGTTCATCAGAACCATTTTTACCCGCTTTTCAGTCCCTGCTAGAGAGCAGGGACTTTCGTGGGAGAAAAAGGTTCATATGTCTGATTGGCTGGGCGGAATGCAAACCACGCCCCGTAAAACTCCCAAAAACCTTTGTGAAGCCGCCATTTTATTTGCTCGCATTACAATCTCAGCGCAGCGCACCAACGAAGAGATTACTTTTGTGAAAGCAGTTATTATAGCAACACTAAATAAATCATCGGAGCGGTGGAGTGATGAGGATGTGTCGGCGCTTCTGGCGATTTACTCGGAGAACGTGATCCAGAAACTTCTACTGAAGGCAGTTTCCAACTGCAAAATGTAGGAGCGTTGTTCAGCAAAGTTAGCCGACCTGGGAACCGTCCACAGCGCAAAGTCATGCCGGAACGACGACGAAGGTAAAATAAACTACATGCACTGCACTGTTTTAATCTGCACAATACTGGTCTCAGATGTGCTTTTATTTGCTCAGTAGATCGAGCTAGCCATGCTAGCTGAACTGGCTATCATAGCTCCAAGCTGGCTAGCTAGCTAGCTATTCTCAGCCTCACCCGCTATGAAAACGTTTTGACTTGTGAATAAGTGTGCAATGTTCTGTAATTTGCTTCACTAACTCATGGCACTAATCGTGTGTTTCAGGCGAGGTGTTTCTCTCTGGATTGGAAACTAGTGAGCTTTCCCCTCCGGGATAAAAACGATAATATAACGTTAGCAATTAGCATGCTAGCTGGACATAATGCTACCTCTGTGGCTACACTGAATGAATAGAGAGGTAAAAAATAACTTACATGGTAGTTGCTATAATTTCATGTGTCATTTGCAACATTCATTCTACATGTTAATGGTACAAGCTTAAACAGTTGATTACCTGCATGCCACAAAGACTGATGTTCTAATATTTTGCACATTTAAGTAAAAATGTAATTGAAATTCAATTTATTTTTCCTTTTTCTTATTGATTGTTATAATTTTACTCTGCCATGTTATGTTAGATGTCAATCCACTTACACTGTAACTACTCTGGCCTTGAAAGAAGGTTACTCATCGAACTGATGTCCACTAATCCTTATAAAACAAAGTTCAAGCATACATTAAGCACAAAACAATACATTAGGGCACTTTGATATTTATTTTTTATTTGATATTATTTGATCCTATCTTATCTTCTACTTTACACCTGCATTTTGTACACTGTCCCTGCCTGCACCATGTCCAATGTTGTCTCTGTTGACAACCTACTAGGCGATTAAACTGATCTTGTATCTTGCTTATTTCTCCTCTTAGGAAAGCGGGCACGGGATGACAGCTTCCTTGACACCATCATGGCGATGGAGGACCGCCGTGCCATGGTCAGCAAGGAGAATGAGGACCTGCGTGCCAAAGAGATGCACGACGAATGGCTGCTGCATTCACACAAGGCCCAGGAATCGGACGACCAGCTGCTCATGGTGATGCCGCGCCATGCTGACTCGGCGGCACGCCAGGTGGAGCAACAAAATACCTTTCAGGCTGGGCTTCTGGCAGTGCTAAGCGAGCTGATTAAATCCAACAGGCCTTCAATAAAAAAATTAAAAAAAACTTGTCGTCGTTGATAAACTGTACAATGACTTGTTGGGAGGCGTGTGGTGCAGTGGTCTGGTGCGTTGGTGTTCGGATCAGGGGAGCACAAGTTCAAACCCCACTGCAGTCAGCATGTCGTTGTGTCCCTGGGCAAGACACTTCATCCCAAATTGCCTACACCTGGGACAGTTCATTTTGTATTATTGTGATTATATATATGCCACTGTTATTAATACTGACACTTCACTTTGCACTAAGGTGTGTCTGCTGCTGAGCCTACCTATTATTGTTATTATATATATATATATATATATATATATTGTTTTGATACTACTGACACTTTCTTTTATATTGAAAATGTTAACTTCTATTTACATTAAAACTTTTAACTTGTATTTACATGCATACGACACACCTGGGACAGCGTGATGCCGTTATTGATATTGTCTTGAGTGTGCAATAAAAGAGAACCTACATGGCGATTAAACAGATCCTGTATCTTGCTTATTTCTCCTCTGACACTTTATCTTTACAGTGACCTGTGTAGCATCCTATACACAGTGCTTGAATTGGAATAAAAAAGGTGCCAGTACTCTAAATCAGCAACTGTTTCAAGTCAATTTATTTATACAGCCCAAAAACAAGTATTTGGCTCAAAGTCATAGTATATCCTAATGCTGGTGGGTTTGTCTCTTTACTGTATATTTTAGAAAGGCTCACTGTACTTAAACAAAATGACTCAGGGTGCATCTGAGATTAGAGGGGGTGCGGTGGTAAAGTGCTATTTTAATAAGTGGGGAGTGGACCTGACACCCTCTAGGGGGGTCCGGGGCATGCTCCCCCGGGAAGATTTTTTTTTTAAATATTGAAGTTAAATGCATCAATCTGGTGCACTTTGAGAGCAAAATGAAGAGATATATGGATACCTCTCAACATCCATATGAAACAGAACTGTAAACAGATTTACTTTTTCTTTATGGATATAAAAGAAAGTAAAGCCTGACTCCTACTGGCGGCTGGTTAAATGACTCCTCGTCCCTGAGTACACTCATCTTTCAGCAGGAAAGGAGAGAGGGAATCAATGGAGCTGCCAGGGAGGACACAGGGGAATCCAGACGGTGGTTTATGGGATGCAGAACTTGGAGCAGGAGGCTCGAGAAGGCTCCCCGTCAGACACAATTTCTAACACAGGCACAGCATTTTCTGTATTTGCAGTCGGCTCCTTGTCCGGCGACAACCGCGGCGGCCGGCGGCATCTCATGACGCTTCTAGGTACGCTGGGCATATTTGTTGTCATCAAATCAAATCAAATCAAGGTTTATTTATAAAGCACATTTAAAAGCGATTTTTGGTCGGGCCAAAGTGCTGTACATGTAATAACTACAATCACATAAAAACACATTTCTATAATCACAATAAAAGACAATAAATTACAACAGATATTTTTAAAAAAACACAGGGAAAAGTCAGGAGTCGTGCTCCGCTCTGACTAAAAGGCCAGGGAGAAGAAGTGTGTCTTAAGAGTAGATTTAAAAACCCCTAGGGTCTGGGCCGACCTCACATGGAGGGGCAGAGTGTTCCAGAGCCTCGGGCCAGCTGCTGCGAATGCTCAGTGCCCTCGGGTTTTGAGCCTGGTCTTGGGCACTATCAGCAACAGCTGGTCAGCAGACCTTAAAGCTCTTGTTGGGGTGTAGCGCTGGAGGAGTTCAGCTATATAGGCCGGAGCCAGCCCATTTAGTGCTTTAAAAACAAATAAAAGGAGTTTAAAATCAATTCGGAACCGAATTGGAAGCCAGTGCAGTGAGGCCAGAATTGGGGTGATGTGGTCACGCTTTTTGTGGCCAGTGAGTAGACGTGCAGCTGCGTTCTGGACTAGCTGCAGGCGTTTAATTTACGCCTGGTCCATACCCACGTACAGAGCGTTGCAGTAGTCCAACCTCGAGGTAACAAAGGCGTTAATAACCCTTTCCAGGTCCTCAAACGATAAAAACGACTTGGTCTTGGCCAATAGTCGTATTTTAAAAAAGCAGGTTTTGACTACGCTGCTGACCTGCTTATCAAATTTAAATGCGCTATTGAAGGTCACTCCAAGGTTCGTGACAGAGGGGAGGATATTATTTTTGAGGGAGCCCAGAATATCAACCTGGGAGGCTAGAGGTTGGGGTCCAAAAAAGATAACCTCAGTCTTGCTCTCATTGAGGTTGAGGACATTTTGGCTCAGCCAGGATTTGATCTCTGCTAAGCAGTCCATCAATAGCTGTAATGAGTTTACATTTGAATTGAGTGGCAGATAGATCTGTACATCGTCGGCGTAGCAGTGGAAGGGGATGTTGTGTTTTGTGAGAATTGAACCTAGGGGCAGTATGTACAGTAGAAAAAGGATGGGGCCCAAAATCGAGCCTTGGGGAACCCCACAGGTAAGAGGGGCTATGGCTGAGCAGAAGGCACCTAGCTGCACCGAGAAGCTACGGTCTGTCAGGTAGGACCTGAACCATGCAAGGGCAGAGCCTGTGATGCCAGCGGACTGTTCAAGCCGTGACAACAGGATGCTATGGTCCACAGTGTCGAAGGCAGCTGTCAGGTCTAACAGCACCAAGACAGCTGGGCTACCTGAGTCGGCGGCTAGGAGCAGATCATTAAAAACTCTTAAAAGGGCTGTTTCAGTGCTGTGCATGGGTTTGAAGCCAGACTGAAACTTTTCATGGATGCCATGCATGGTTAAAAAAGACTGCAGCT